ATATGTACATGTATGCGTACACATTAATATATTTATAGAGATACTTGCTGTTACATGTGCTATCTTCAATATGGGCAGACAGAAAGCGGCAGCGGGCGAGTCAATACGCTGCCTTAATTGCTTACAAGTTGTTTTTGTTCTTGTCGCCGGCCATGTTTATCGTTTAAAGTGGAAAGCCTGACCCCAACTGACCCGGCAATTGGCCGACTGACCAACCAACCGACCGACTGACAATGGACATCGTTTTGTCGGCCCCAGTCTGTCGGCATTGATTTTTATGGAGCTCTCCTACCTCCCTCCCTCCCTCCCTAGCACGAATACATATCTACGAAGCGGGCCTCAAACTGCCCATTTTATGACATTTTTAATTACTTATTTTGCTTAAAACTGTATGCGGAGTAGGCGAATAAACAAATGCTGTCACAAATTCTCTTTCTCTGTGTGTGTGTGTGTGTGTGTGTGTGTGTGTGTGTGGGAGGGGTGGCTTATAGATGTATAGAATCAGCTTTATCCATGTTTGGGTACATACACTTGCAAAAATATGGCTTCGTTTATAGGCAAATAAAATAATGAAAATTGCGATACGAGAATGCTGCTCAGCTGCGGCGGGAGCAACAGAGAGAGAGAGAGAGAGAGAGAGAGAGAGAGAGAGAGAGGGAGAGCAGCGGAATCATCACCAGGAGTCCTTTGTTTGTCTTTTATTAGGATAGTAAAAGTCTTTATTGTTGCTCTGCACGCTGCTGTTGTCCGGCATGTCTGCCAGTCAGTCGGCCAGCCACTTGACCAGGCCCAGCAGAATGACGACAATGACGATGCCGCTGTTCTTGTTGTTGTTGCTGTTGTTGTGACCTTTTGTCCATCAGGCTGGCCGCTGGGGCACTGGGGCGCTGCCCTGGCAAATTTTTATATAGTTTACCATATTGCTTTGTCATTGTTGTTGTTGTTGTTGCTGTTGTTGCTATTGCCGGCGTTTTCGTACAGCTACTGCCTTTTGCTGCAAATATTTTTGAAAGAATGAGGCCAAAAGGCAAACTCTAAGCATGGCATAATTTGGAACGCAACCACAATCCGGCTGAGGGACATTGACGAGAGGACAAACAAGTGCTGCCAGCTGTGTGTGTAACTCAATTCTCGGTGCTGCCTATGCCTGATGTCTAAATGGACATATGCAATTCGGGGCTGGCTCGCATTTTGATTGTGTTCATTTAGTTAAGTTTTATGCTGATTTACTTAGGCCGCAGACAGAGCGACAGCCATTTACGACATTTTAACGCCTCAGTGATAAAATCTGAACGCGTGATACATAAGGCCCTGGTCAGGCAATAAACTGGACGCACAATGGACCGCAAAATGGTGAAAACTCTTTGTAGGCATTCATTGAATTCTAGCCTGTCTAACTTAATACCTGTATCTTTGAAGTTTATCCTATTCAATTTACAATTTTCAATACTCAATGAATTGGGTCGTTGCGGCTCACAGTTTTTTGATTGAAATTAATTTCAAATGTCGTTTCTCACTTGGCGCACGCCACAGTTACCAGGGTGACCCTGACCTCGGGTGCAAAGGGTTCGTCGCCGGATTGTCTTTCTGCCACGCTACCCAGCCGGCTGCCGTGTATCTAATGAATATTTAAAATCCTGCACGCCCTGCAGACACAGACGCACACACACACACACACACAAACAGACACACGCTCAGGCACACACAGAGAAAGAACTCTCATGCTGGTTGCGCTGGCAGCGCATTAAATAAAATTGACAAGTATATTGAATGTGAAATTTATTTAAATAACCCAAAATCGTTGGCGCTTAAATAAATCCAGTTTAAGTGCGGATTTTCTTCTATGCGACGTGCACAAACGGTAAGCACAGCGTCTATACAATACTTAAAAAGTTGCTGACCCTGTATCCCGGCTGAATCGTATTTCAGTTTAAAGCACATGTGTTTGCCAACGCTTTTCCAGAGTGACCATGCCCTGGCTTTAAAGTAATAAAATATGTTTGATATAGCGCATACGCCACGTGGTACGGCAACGATCTAGCGATATGTGTGCTGGCTGCCAACCCGTGACGCCGTCATCCTGCGAACTCATCTCATTTCTCATCAACAATGTTGCAAAGTTTCTGGCCCCCGCCTTCGTCGACCGCAGCGGGTTTCAGCATTGAAATAGCAGAAATTTTGATTTTACGACCTTGTTGCCATCATTAACGTTATTTTATGATGACGCTGAAACGACCTCAAAATATTGTGGCGCAGCTTCTCTTGGCCCTGGGACCTGCACTGGCTTAGCTTGGCCCCCAATGCTGCCCAACCCACCGCCAAGTTATGATGCTCGGAAGTATAAGTAAAAAACCAATAAATGTTAATGAAAATACAAGAGACAAAGTTTAGTTTTTGCAGGCATGGGATACGCCAGCATGTGTGAGCCTACTTTGTTCCTGTTGCCGAGCGATTATGTTATTGTGTGCGTGGCATCGAACATAAGCTGATAATATTATTGCGCTATTAATGGGCTCAGGTTTTTATGGGACTTTTAATCGCTTTTGTTACAGTTACCAAAGTTGCAACTATAACTCGACAATGCTCGTGCCGCACACACAAAGGAATCGAAGAGAATGTTGCGTGTGACTATGTATCTCCGACTCTCTCTCTCTCTCAATTTGCTCTCTGTCTTGCTTTTCTTTTGTGTGGCTAGCAGTCAATGCAACATTTAGTTGCGGCCAAAGGCAAAAACTAATTGCGAAGCCAAACGCACTGCCAACAACTGTGGCTGTGGCAAGGTGTGCGCCGCAAGCGGAAAAGCAATTTAGCAAATTCTTTGTCGTTTGGCAAATAGAAAAGCCAACTGCGAGTGGCTGCCCTCCCCTCCCCCCTCCACTCCACCCAACCCCTTTAGCTGGCTGCTGCAAAATCAATTTTAATGACACGATGGAGAAAAAGCAGAGAGCTAAATATATACCCCATACATATATATGGTATATATATATGTGTATAGAAAACCGCTTGAATAGCAAAGAACTGAAGCGAAGCCGACAAACTCAAATGGCACGTCTATAAAACGCCTCAGCCGCCCCCAAAACGCACTGCAATTGCTTCACGGGGTGACATATGCAGGCAGTCATTGCTTTTGTTGTGGTTTCAACGAATGAAAACACGACTAAACACCACAAAAGTTTAGAAATTACTTACGAAACCAAAACCAAAATACCCTAACTTGGTAACTTACAGATAAAAGTATTATTAATAAAAAAAACTGTATACTTTAATATCTAAGCTTAGACGGAGGTTGGACAAACTTTTCATGACGGACTGTAAATCTTTCTCTGGAATGCCTCCGCACATAATTCATGCCTTTAAGTGTATTCAAGCCGACATAAGGTGTATTGTACCCCCTTTGCTGCTGGAGGAGCATCGCATAAAAGGTGTAATGAAGGAGCAGCCAGAAGAAGGTATTTCTTTGTCGCGTTGGCTTGTCGCAATTAACGTTCGCGGAAATTCCTGGCAGTCAAGCAGGCAACGGTAGGCAACGGCAGCGAGCCAAGCAACGCGCTGGTGCGTAAATAGCACGGAAGTCGTTGGGCCCACGCGGCGTATACGTGCTTTAAGCAAGAGAGAGAGAGAGAGAGGGAGAGCCTCAAGCTAGCAAGTGACCTTCTGTAGGAGTGTGTGTCAACTACTTTTGTTGCATGTTGCATGTTGCATGTCGCATGTGCTTGGCAAATAGTTACTTGGCTTAGCATGGCTTCATGTCGTCCCCAGCCTGCATTTAGCGACTTCTTTTTCTTGTTCGCTGTGACAATTTGGCGGCCTACTTGTCGTTGGCATGCCATATGCCAGCCGTACACAAAACAATTGCAGCCATTACAGTTTGTAATTTGGTAATCAGCCATACGAATCTGCATAATGGCAATTGGAGCAGCAGCAGCAGCAGTTGGAGCAGTTGGAGCAGCAGCCGTTTAGGTAAACCAGGCAAGAAAAGTTGCCAACTTTTAATTGAAGTGAAAACGACGATAACGACAGCATTGTTGGCATTGCTGTAGCTTTGTTGCCAGCCCAAGGGGCTCTGAATGAGGACTCCGCATGGGGCTTTAACACACACACACACACACACACAAATTGCACACTCACACAGATACATGGGGGCAGGCACACACATGTCGTCATGGCGTGCGCCATTGCAAAAACAGTTGCGGAATTGCTTTTTAAGCCCACAGCGCGTAGCATAAAAAAGCAGCAGAGCCGTACTCTAGGGTCCCAGGGATTGAGCTGGGCGCTGCCATTGGGTGGAGGACTAAGCCTTTAAAACTCAAAACTTTTGAGCTGCTTGAAGTTTGGGGCTGTGCGTATTTGCCTCTGTGGCGTCCGCACACACACACATGCATATATCCATTATTCAGCTCGTATTGGGCAATGTGCAATGTTTTGCTTGTCCATGAAGTGCTCCGGGTCGTTGCTAACCTGTTGCCATACCTAGCCCTTGGACGGGCTATCAAAGTGCGATAGCGCGGCAAACTTGTCAGTAAATGGCCTTGAAGGGCGTGGCTAGCAGGTTGAGTGAGTGGGGGTGAGGAGTGTGGGGGTGTGGAGGAACATTGCTTGCATAGCAGCACGCAAATATGTCGCCTGGCCCAGCTGTGGCCGTGGCACGCGCCGGCATGCCATATTCGAGACATCGCCTTGAAGAACCCCGTGCGCCTGCCAGCCTGGCTTTGATTTATTGATTTTAGTCTTGGCACACAGCATACGAAATGAGGCGATATTTGCACGGCCCCCATGCCTGGGCCACATGTGGCTGCAGGAGCTCAGCAGCGCAGGACCCGCAGTGTATATCCATTAGCTGCCGCCAGTGCCAGTGCGAGTGCCAGTGCCAACTGCTGTTTAATAAGCCACCACATTTAAAATATGCCAGATAACTAGAAAGTGGAATGCAGCTGCTGGCCAAGTCTGCTTCAGCAAATGGCGCAAGTTCAATTAAATCAAAGCTCGAGCATATTTCTTACCCGTTAGACAGTTCCGGCGCCAGACGCTGTCTGCTGGCGGCAATGTCTGCAAGTATAAATGCGAAGACAAATTAAATTACGTTTAAAGTGCAAGTGGACCAAAAAAAAAAACATACTAAAAAAATCCCTGACTTTGCTATGAAATGTGAACAAAAAATACACGTAATATGAACGGCATTGAATTGATATGCTGAAGCCAAGCAAAATCAAATTGCAAAAACAACGTGCTCAACCTTCGGATATCCTCATGAGAGTTGTAAAGTAACTTTATCTCAAAAATATAATACAGAATCTTTATTGCTGCAAAGTTAGCTTTTTATAAGTATGTAATGCACAATAAAGATATTGCTTAGTTCAAAAATTAAACATAAAAAAGAAATGAACAGTAACAAATAATTATAATAATTGAATAAAAAATAATTATTAAGAGCTGTATATGTTATTATATATTATCATAAATGCATGACATATATAGATCATATTTGTATAGATTTTTACACTAGCCCAATCAGATGCTTCTATTAAATAAACGAACAGCTCAGCTAAACTAGGATTTTTCTTATATTAGATACTCTAATTGGAGAGTTCATATTTCTTGGTCACATATTGAAAATGATTCCCTGTAGATTACTTAAGTAAATAAATAGATGAACCTTAGATCATGCTGTTCATTGTGTCGGATCACACACCTTAATTGGCCTTCAACATTAGTTGGCACATATATGCCCATTTCGAGCTGCGTCATTATTGCAGAGTATAAGAAAAGAAGCCGCCAAAGTGTGAGAAATGGAACCGGCGAACGCCTCGCGCAATGAAACGGAATAGAATCAAGGCAACAAAAAGAGAAATGAATTGAGACTACACATAAAAGAAATGAAATCCATGTGGGCGGTGGCAGGAAGCGTCTTTGGCAAGGCGAAGCCATGGCAGGCCAGGCGAAAGATAAGTAAGAGAACAAAATTAAATTGGACATTTATCAAGAGATTTTTATTGATGCCCCAAGTGCCGGCCAGAGCAAACACAAGCACAAACACAAGCACAAGCACAAGCACAAACACAAACACAAACACACACCACGGGGCGCCACAGCCGACTGGAGACAAAGTCAAGTGGCAGGAACGACAAATGCGGGCAATTATCGTTTTGAGTGTAAAGTTTTATTGGCAAGCGGAAAGTTGATTTTATTTAAATGTTGCCACTGGCGATGGCAGCAACAAATTGCGGCAAGACACGCAAGCATAAATTAGAGCCACGCCCCCAACTCAACTCTCCGGCTGTCTAACTAATTACGTCCATTAGTGAAGCGGCAACAACAACAACAGGAATGGAAACAATTATTGCGCATTTAATCACCTGCTGAAATTGTAATTGTGTTGCATACTTTTTGGCTGCCACTGTACGTACACATACTTCTACGTCTACAACTAATTACACGGCCAGCAAAACCCGGGGCCCCATAAAACAAAAACCCGTAGCCCGTCGTCGACTAGAGATATTCAGACGAAACATGAATTGTTGCCAACGCGATTTTGAATTTATTGCATGAAATTAACTTTCACAAAATAATTCACATAACTTTGGGGCGTGCCGAAGGGCCAGCCAAAGTGGCTTAATAAAATAATTTATGGTTTGGCAAAATGCCCATTTACCGCTCCGCAGCCCCAACCCTTGTCCAACTGTCTGTCTCTCTCTCTCTCTCTCTCTCTCTCTCGCTCTCTCGCTCGCTCTCTCTATCTGTCCGGATGAGCGCTTGTAAGTCTGTCCGGGCGCAGTCAAGTGCAAAAAACAAAGCAAATTAATTGCAAGTCAAAGCGAACCTTTGACTCCATGAACACAACGCACCTTTGCACACACAATTACACGCACACACACAAACAGAATCACAGATACGGACACACACACACACACGCAAGTGCTATGGCAATGCCTTCATCAATATATCCTTTAAAGCCCAGCTAGCAGAGCCTAATCAAATGGGACAGCAGCTGCTTTGCCCGGGCAGCTTTTCAGGCAGCTGCCCAGTGATGCGTAGCTAATATGCCTTTGGCCATGGACACGCCCCTTTGACCGGATAAATGCGTATCTGACAGGGGGCTGGGCCATGCTTATAGCCCGTTGCCGTTGCCTCTGCCAAAAGCAAGCCACTCTCTGGCCAGCGAAGCATTGGACTGCCGGAATCAACAGCTGCCAAACAGTTGCGACGCAACTTCATGTTATCCAGCAACATTTTCACGCGTTTTTTGTCAACAAATTTCACATCCCATTAGCCAGGCGTAAATTGTGGCAGCAATAGAGCATCATTTTATTGCATTAATTGTAGTAATGGATTCGATTTCCAACTCGAAATCAAAGCTGCCACTCATAAGTTGTAAGTGGATGGGTCCCAGCGTCATCTTTTAGGGTTTCTGTTGTTGTGCGTTTCTCGTTTCTCGTTCTCGTTTCCTTTCTATCTGCCTGACACGTTTGACAGCTTGGCGTTTGTCTTTGCTTAGCGGTTGCCTAGCAGACAAATGACAAAAATCCAACCAGCAGGCAACATACCGACAATCAGATACTCTTTTAAATAGGTTTTCTCTAACGAGGAGTTAGTATCGAAAAATATACTTTTAATTATATTAATATTATTGTCGTTTCAACAATCAAGTCTAACGATATATAAATTAAATATTTATATTCTGAATTTGCTAAAGAAGTCATAAAAAATGCACACCAGGTATATAATGGGAGCTGTCTGATCTAGCAGCTTGCTGCATTCGTCCTGGATACAAATATGTAAGGCCTTCTTCTTCTCTATGTAGAAGACGTTCACAGTTACACAGTTGCGACACTTTTTGAAAGGGCATCTAGCATGCTCAACAGCAGCAGTCAAAGCAATAGCAACTGGGGGGATGGGGGGTCTTGAGTCCCATTTGGAAAATTGACAAAGGGCACAGGTGACAAAGACGGCGACGGCGACGGCGACGGCTTCAAGGCGGGAGCTGCTGCTGCTGCTGCTTAGGGCTGGTTGCTGCAGCAACTTCTTACACTTGAGGTGACAGTGCAACATGTGCGATTGTCGAGTGTCAGCGGCAAGCATGCCACAGACAATTCCAGTAAAAGCTTTGCGCCGCGGACAGTTGCGGGTGTTGGCGGCGGCTGAAATTAAACGCGACCCTCCTCGGAAACCCTTCGCTGAAAGTGTTATCGTGGCAGTTGCAGCGATGCGGCTAAGCATCATAACTCAAGTCAGTGCCTGGCGACTCGTCCTGCCACTCGAGCAGCGTGAAAAACCTGCCAAGATGCTGAAGAGTCATCCTCGGGCGTCGCTGCCAGCATTATGCATGCGTCCCAAAGCAGCAGCAGCTGTTGCAGCAGCAGCAGCAGCAGCATCTGCCTTTGCATGCACTTAACATGTTGTACCACAAAATCGTCAGCCATATGCGGCGCATATTAATTTGATGGCACTCATATTTATGCCAAAGCAAAGCGATTTCCTTCCTTCTATGCTGTGCTCTGCTGTGCTGCTTCTCCAACTGTTGTTGCGACATTTTTTGACAAGTTGCACTCAGAGTCAGCGTCAGTGTCGCGCTGGCGAGTCGTTGTTGCATTTGCAATGCGAACAGGAGTCGGAGCAGCTGTTGCAGCTGCTTTGCATATGGACGGACAAGTGGGAAACACAGGCAAACAGCCCTGCCCAGCCAAGCCAGAGATGGGCGCTGTGGCAACTGCCCCCCCCCGCCACTGCGACTTTTCATCTTTTTTCGCAGCACTTTTGCTTCGTTTTTTTTTTCTCGTTGTTCTGGCGCATTCTACTTTAATTATTTCAGCGATGCTGCCGAAGCCGCTGGTAACGACATCAAATTTACATACGCAATTTCATTGTTGCCGCAGGATCTGGCCATTGTCATGCTGCTTGTTGTCCGTCGCCGTTGCCGTCGCAGTTGCAGTTCGCCTTGTCTGTCCCTTGCCACAAACGCATTTTATATTCAAATTTTTTCGCTGTTGTCTGGCAGTCATTGCAAATTCTGCCAGTAGTTTGGCATCCTTTTTGTTTTCTGCACTTGACTTTTGCTTTGGGGCCTGTTGTGTAACCTCTGTTGCCGCGGCCCCTCCCCACTCCCCACAAAAAAACTCCACTTTGCTGCTTATGTGCTCATAATAATCAGTTGCAGTTACCGCCCCCGCTTGAATTTAGCGTCGATTTTACAGGCACTTACACACACACACAGAGAGACGCACACACCCGACCCCAGTCGCAGTTATAGCCAACAATAACAAGTTTCTGTATGACAGAGGGCATAGAAGATTTGTGCAAATTTATGGAACAGCTCGGCTCGGCTAAGAGCAAGCAGTCGCAGATTCCATTTACATATGATTACATAGAACAGAATATCATGGCCGACAGTCTTCGGCACTTGTATAATTCAAATGCAGGAGGAACAGCCTCCAAAGGATAACGAAACCATTTCGAATATATACTTTATATTATTTTTTTATTTATTTCATTTTTCTTGTATCGTAGATAAATAACAATTGTTTGTCTAACGATACATTAAGTGAATTTCGATAGTTGAAAACATTGAGACCGTTTATAATTTAATAGTAAGCTTTGAAAGTGTAATCCAGCCAAAACAAGTATTTAAGTCCTAAAGAATATATTTCGAAAAAATAATCTGTTCATCGCAAAAAATAAAATTTTGTAAATAATAATTTTTTTACCCTGAACCCATTGAAAATGGATAAAGAGGGTATAATGTGTTTGTGCAAATGTATATAACAGGCAGAAGGAAGCATCTTCGACCCCATAAAGTATATATATTCCTGATCAGCATCAAACGCGGAGTCGATCTAGCCATGTCCGTCTGTCTGTCCGTCCGTCCGTCCGTATGTATGAACGCAAGGATCTCAGAACCCATAAGAGCTAGAGAAATTTTAGCTGTAGGTCCTGCTAGTCCCCGCGCAGATCGAGTTTGTTTCCGATATTCGATAACTTGCCCCGTTTCCAAGTAATCGATAAAAATCGATATCGAGATCCTGTTTTTTGGGCAATTTCGGAAAATAATGTGA